AATTTGAAATAACCGTGAAATTTACTACGAAAAATTGCTACAAAGCTGAGAAACCTAAGACTGAGTGCTGAGGTAGAATGAAGGTAGGCGGGAAATAATTACAAATTTGAGCATAAGTAAAAAAATTGTAGGCTACATTGAAATATACCAAGTTTTACATTCTCTGCACATTAAATGCAGAAAGCGCATAGAAGTCTCTTAACACCCTGCTTGATTTCACTTCGCAGCCCATTTTTTGTGTTTGGACATGAAATTGAAAGCTCCATTTTGTACCGTATCATTATGCATTTTGAAAAATCGAAGAAATTGCGCCAATTTTTCACGTACTGCTCATACGGAAAATAATTCTCTCTATACACAGCGGCCAAGGTGAGATCGATAGAGCGGGTGAAATACTCGAGCGCTACATTAGTGAAAAGAAGCCAGCGAACTTCTCATCTGTGGTCATCAACCTAGCTCCCGAAAGATCTTTCCACAGTTGGTTTAAGGTCAGTTCGTAACTCACTGCTCGACGACACTGATCTCATAAAAGTCATTTCAGCACTCGGATGTGTACACTGGAGATTTTAATTACACCCATGAACATGACATCAACGACTTCGTGCAGCGCATTGAATCTACGAAACTTCCCATTTGCGATGGTTGGTAAGATTAAAAAAAACATCAATATTCCTAAACGAAGCAAAAACTGGCTCTACATATTAAATGCAAAAGATGCAGACCTCTTCCTATCAATATCGAGGTTTTGGTTGCTGATATCGCTACAATCCCCTACCAAGCCACCAACTAACGTTGCCAGCCCTTTGACATGATATGCACTGTTAACAGAAGTTCAGCATCTAGCCGACGTAAGTTTTACCACGAGGCTAAGTTGTGGACAAAACCGAGTCCTGGGTCGGAGCTCGAATCGAGGCCTACTAGATTACCAGAAATTTTTTTGATTTTTGGTATTTCACTTTTAAATAAAGCGCCTTAGGAACTTTTTTCTTCGACTTTTAGGGATGCTTCGAAACGATAAGACACTCTCCTTTCAAAGTTGGAGCTTTCAAAGTTGGAGATCACAGAAAGGCACTAAACTGAGTCCAGCGGTCTAGAGGAAATCTCTATCAAAGCCACAAGTCAGGATAAGGTGCTCATAGAAAGCCTTTCCATCACTAATATGGCCTGTACTGCACCCAGAATGGTGACGCCTCGCTTCTGATCAGAGTCAACCTTGCGTTTTGCAAATTTCAAAATTTTTACGACCCCCTTCCTTTTCGGAGGGTATCGGTACGACCCCCGTATTAACTATTATGTCTTTCACATAATTTAATGCTCATCATTGATGTGGCAGTCACCAACATGGAGAAGTGGTGGACCGTGGTCAATCCGCGCGCTCTGTCTCGCTCAGAGGAGGGAATCGAGGCAACATGAAGTTTTATTCATTAAATAGAAGGAATTTCCAAATTTTTGCGTAAACCAATACATCATTTTAATCAGAGATGTTACCACTTTGACTATTTTTGGCTGGGGCGAAAGTTTTGCCATCAACTCAGCATTCTTGTGGTAATCTAATCAGAGAGATTTCTACTTTCAGAACCCACCAAATTTTTTCGATCTCTCAATTTCCTTATTTTATAATCTGAAAAACTAAACCTTGTAGCAATTACGTTGCAATCCAAACCCCTCCATTCAGAAGGTTATATTTTTCTTCAGAAGCGGTCTCATGGAATCG